CTTCGGGGGGGGGGAGAAAAAAAAAAAACCCCAAAACTGGAACCCAGGGCGCGGAATCCCCAGGCTCTAGTTACCAGAAGTCGTTGTAGCTCGGAAGGAAGGTAAAGACCTTTGCCCAAAAAATTCTTCCTACGCTCTGCAAGTCAGAGAACAGGTGTCAGAAAAAGGGGGGGGGGGGTGCCAAAGTATAGAAGTGGGGAGCGCCTCTAACAAGAGGAATTCTCCCGGTCATGCAGGAACCACTGGAGACCTCGTTAAGTAGAGAGCATGTCACCAAAACAATGAAATAAAAGTTGCTTGCATATACCCGACCTCGCTGCAGCTTTACCTTCCAGGTACCCAGCCCCACAACCGGTATCTTCTCCATTGTTCCCAGGCGTAGTCTTGACAACCGACGGAGCAAGACTACGTGCTAAGCGGCAGGCAAACGGCCCTGATTGGCTGGCGGCGCGGGCGTGAGCGAGACACGCCCACATGCCTGGGTGCCACGCAGCCCTAGTGGCTGGAAGCAAAGATTAGAACAGTGCTGATTGCCTGGGTGTAGACGTACCTGTTCAGTGGCTGCTAATAAAATCTATAGAAGGTCACTTCAAGGATCAAGAGAAGGATCTGATGAAAGAAGTTATTTGCATGTACCAAAATTACATAACATAACTGTAATATTCTAAATAGTATTGAACTGTGAGTTTTAGAAGCGTGTACTTAATGATATGTAAATTACAGATAACACTCTCATGGCTCAATGATTGTGTAAATTACCACCTAACATGGGAGGGACTGGGAGCATTATGGTAAGTGAACTAACTCAGTTTCGTAAGGACATATACTGTATAAGACCATCATTGTAGAACGAGTATGAGGATCCAAGGGGTGGCAGGGCTGGTGATGATGAGATTGAGACTTTCTCAAGATTTTGTAATTCATGGCAGTACAGAAACTTTTAGTGTACAGTATGGGTAATTTCCTTATTACTTTATCTTTAATATGTTAAAAAAAGTACCATGCAAGAATATATCTTTAAAAAGGAAAAGAATATATTGTGAAACATTCAAACAATACAGAAATGCATAAAGTCCCCTTACCCTTATAGCTAATCATCACTAAATAACTCTATTTTTAATAAAAAATTGACTTTTTTATTGTGATTTTAATGAAAGTTTACAGAAAAGTTGGATTTTCATTAATTCATTGTTGCACATTTTCCTCCCTAC